CTATGCTACCAGAGCTCCTTAAGTGTAGGGTTAGCAACTTAAAATAGTTACAGTTGCAGTTACAAAAAGTGAAAAATTATGTTTAAGAAATGCCCATTTCCTCTATCTTCTAACATATTTTCCCCTTTTTTTTCCTCTCACTCAAAAACATTCCTTTTAGGTGAAAGACCAAAGAAACCAATTCCTCTTCAGGATCAGACTGTCAGAGATGAAAAAGGAAGGTACAAACGATTTCATGGGGCCTTTAGTGGAGGCTTCTCTGCTGGATATTTCAATACAGTTGGCTCCAAAGAAGGTATGATTTCCTACTGACAGCCATTTGTTGCTCAAGCAAATGACTGAACTACCAGAAGACCACCCTTTCCCTTTTAAGAACATTGTAGTATACACAGGCTAGTCTTTTGTGTTCTTGAATGCTTGGAATGTATCCAGAGTGTACATGGGTATTGTTTATTGGTTACAACTTGAAGAAGTTTCTTCCACTTTCTTTTCAATAGATACACTGTAACCAGAAGATTAAACAATGGCAATGACTTCCATTTATTGATTGATTGATTTTTGGAAACTTTTTTTATTGTGAATTGAGTTGACAGGGCATATCATCAGTTTGACGTTCAGCACATCCTACACTGCGTTTCCTCTCAATGATTTACGCCCCCTCCATTTCATATATTGTATCTGGCCGGACACAGAAGCTCTCACGCAGATTCATTCACTTAGTCATCAAATGTCTGTTGGTCTCCACACGACTCTGTGAGTAAGGCAGGCAGGTGTCACAGCTCTTATCTAGGTGAGTCTAAGGTGTAAGGTTAGAGAAGTTGGGGGTGGAGCCTCCAGTTGCTCTCTCCTGAGCTTCCCTGGTTAGTACATGCTCTCAACCTGGAGAAAGGCAAGTCAGTACCCTTAATCCATAGTGCCTCACACACGGCACTTTTTAATTGTTTAAACGTTTTTTTTTAAACGGGAAGGCACAGGCTGTGTTTCTCAGTTACGAATGGAAGAACTGACTGACTCGGGTAGCAGTTACCAGGGACAAGATGCTGTACAGAAGGGGCTGTGGGAGTTTGTAGTCACTGGGGGTTTGAAGTCTGTGTTCTGTTCTGCCGTGACTTCATGACAAACCATAATACTAGCTAGAATTTTAACGTTCTAAACGCTTCTCTTTCAAGGATGGACACCATCGACCTTTGTATCTTCACGACAGAACAGAGCCGACAAATCTGTTCTTGGTCCTGAAGACTTTATGGATGAAGAGGTGGGTGTGCAGTTCTCTAATTGCCAGTTAGCCAGTGGGGTGTATGCAGTTCATTATGGGGTGTCAACTTCTCCCTCCCTAGAAAGTCCCTCCCACGTGTGACTTTAGGGTTTCTATTGCTGTGTCCTGAACATGAATGGATTCTCACTTGTTGGAGAAGTGTTTTATTTGGGCCAGCTTCTAAAGTCAGGAATATGTGGGCACAATTACTTCAGATTGCTCGAGATGGGCAGTTCCTATAGTTCTGAGTCTAGAGCTTCTCTAGTAACTATGCATTTGAAGGAGCAGTGAGGGACTAGACTAGGAAGCGTGAAAGGAAGCTGTGTCTGGGACCCATTGTTAAAGGCAACAATCAACAGCCACCACTTAGGGGAAAATGGAGGGCTGTGCGGGCTCCTAAGTGTCCCTACCAACTTGCAAGGTGTATATTACGTTTTGGTTTAAAATTAAACCTCTGATACCTTAATACCTAGTTATGGATTTGTTTGTGGTGGAGATTTAAAAAACAACACACTGGTATGAAGATGCTTTGGAGTTCATGCAAGACAAAAGGGTGGTCTCCTTCTTAGGTGGCGGGAATAAAGAAACCTGGCTCATGCACAAGAAGTCTAGGTGGCAGTGAGGCCCAGCCCTGTCATCTTAGTCACCGTCTGTCTGTCAGCTTGTCCTCACACTAGCTCCTCCTGGTTGCAGTAGTTCTGGGTGGCATATCCAGGACAATTTCCAGTGGAAGGCGTTTTGCCTGGGTGTCTATTCTTGAGAGCAAAGACATCTTTCACACGAGTCCTACAGTGTACTTTCCCTCACATCTGATGTTTCTTACCAGCAAGAGGTAAGACACGAACCCTTCCTCACTCTGCCCCATCCCAGCACTGGGGTTGGCTAGAGGAAGGCACTGCCTGGACAGCTCGGGACTCTGCTACAGAGGAAGGGGAATGATTGGTAGACATCTGCTCCAGTCAACACAAACGCACATAACTTAAAGCTTGTCCACACAGATCCTTACAAACGCTGGCTGGACAGCTCGGGGCTCTGCTACAGAGGACGGGGAATGATTGGTAGACATCTGCTCCAGTCAGTACAAACGCACATAACTTAAAGCTTGTCCACACAGATCCTTACAAACGCTGGCTGGTTGTAAATCTAAGATCTGCTGCTGCCTTCACACTGGCCTCTGAATAATCAAGAGGAATTGGCCCTATTCTTATTTTCCCACCACAGCCCCCATCTGACCCTGCCTGCAGCCACTGACCTTAGCTTATGTGAGAGGGTGCAGTTCTCAAGTCAGCCACTCCTCTGACCCCTCAGTCAGCTTTCATAGTTTTAAGTTGAATTTTATTTGTTTATTTATTTTTAATAAATAGAAATGTAAGTAATTTTGTTATTTTGTTTTTAAAGGATCTTAGTGAATTTGGGATAGCACCTAAAGCCATTGTCACCACAGATGATTTTGCTTCCAAAACCAAAGACAGAATACTAGAAAAGGCCAGGCAGTTGGCAGCAGCTGCCGCCCCTATTCCTGGAGCCACTCTGCTTGATGACCTCATAGCGCCAGCAAAGTGAGAATCATTTAATGCTGATTTTTCTGTTCTTGGCATCACCTCTTTGCATGGTTAGAATTAAGAGCAACGTTCTTAGACTAGCTTGTGTAGATTAGGGGACGTTTGTCAGAGGCATAATGCACAACTGTGTGGCATGGCCACTGGCCCTGCTGTTGGGACTCACAGAAGCTGGGGTGTTGTTAGGAACTGGGGTGGCCGCCCTCCTGTCCTGCCTCTCACAGGCCTTGTGGACTCTCAGTCCCACTCTAGTGCTATTTTTCTGTAAGCCAACTTGTTTCTCAGCTGTGGCCTGACGTGGCTGCCTGAGACCTTCATGCTTTCCCGGGCCTCATGCTTGAGAATGACTGTCTTTGTGTGCTCAGTCCACTTGGTGAGGAGACAGGGCATCTGACTGACTCCTCAGGACATGCGTCCAATCGTGGTGGCTGGCATAGCAGGCATGCAGTTCTGACGTGGGTGAGGGAAAGGCCTCAGATAGGGCAGGCGTGTGAGCTGGGCAGGAACTTGAAAGCTGGTTATCACTGTGGTTATCCAGAGAAAGTCATTCATAATGCTCTGCTCTCCTAGATTATCTGTTGGCTTTGAATTGCTGAGAAAAATGGGTTGGAAGGAAGGACAAGGAGTTGGCCCTCGAGTAAAGAGAAAACCACGCCAACAGAAATCTGGTATGTGTATTGACTGCCATTCCTTCTATGCATACTTAAAAAATTTTTTTTGTTTGAAAGTTTTATTGTGAATTGAGTGATAGTTTACATGGGAGAACATTGGTTTTAACACTGATCGTTTCATTACAATGATTACAGTCCCCTTCGTGCATCATTCAACAGTATTTGCTTTTATTCCCTCTGGTTTTTTTTTTGGATGTACACAAAAACACTCAGGAATATATAATCATTTGAACAACCAAAGGGCACATTCTACAAGCCTGCCTCCTGGCCGCCAGCACACAGCCTTTCTCTTTCCATGAGTCTAGAGCCCTCAGCTGCTCAATTTCTCCATGTCATCATCTGTCTCCATCTCAGGTGTTGCTGCTTCTCTAGATAGGGTCCCACATTCCACTCGTGCTCTTTTCCCTTGATGGTCCTAGGGTCCTCTGTTCCTTGAATACAGCATACTTTTTTTATGGCTACATGTTTCTAGAAATAAAGTCACTGGATCAAGAGATGTGCTTGATCAAGCACTTTTTTTTAAAGGCTTCTTATATGTAATGTGCAGTAGAATCTTCAGAAGAATCACACTAATTTATGTTCCCAGCAGAAATGTCTGAAAGTTCTTGTGTCCCAGCCTCCTCAGTCCTTTTTCTTTGATGTTGACTATGTCAGTAAAATGGCACCTGTGCCATAGTTGGACATCATTGTTTTCTATTCATTTCTTGCCCGTGGTCTCCTTAATCAAACCAGGAACTCGTAGAGAGCCGTCATCATTCTTTTGTGTTCTCCACGGAGTTGGGGCAGTAGAGGTCACTTCTTACTGCCCGAGTATGGGTGGAGAATGGACTGGCGGAAACCAGCTCTGGAGTGATCGTCCTCAAACTCTAAAGCTGTGCTTTCCAAGTACAGTCAGACACAGCCGTGGACCTCTGAAGATGCCAGTGGCTCGAGCGTCTCTGTTGTCAGTGCCTATGACTAATGTCTTGGAAATGTCTCTCACAGACCCTGGAGTGAAGATCTATGGCTGTGCATTACCGCCTGGTGACTCTGAAGGATCTGAGGTATGGGATGGGATAACCGACTTTCAGTATAGTGCAGTGGCATTTGTCACTTTATGATCATCAAGTATTTGGATCAGAAACAATTTTGGAAACCAGTCATATCCCTTTACAATGAAATACCCCTATTTTGTTGTTGTTATTAAGTGATGTTGAGTCAGTTCTGACTCATAGTGACCCTGTATAGGGTTTCCCAGGAGCAGCTGGTGAGTTTGAACCACCGACTTAGCAGTTCAAACCTACCGTGTGGTCCAGTGCTTATCCCACAGCACCACAGTAGGAACCCCTACTTTAGTCAGATAATATCTGTGTTCAGCAGCCTGCAACCCCAGAGGTCTCCCAAGTCTGTTCACTTTCCTAAAATGAAGGTGGGCAGGTTCGTATCATCTCCTCAGGGCCTTGACTTAGTCATTTGCAGTAGCAGAAACGAAAGTTTGCTTGTTTTTCTGTTTGTAATTAATCACTGTGTTTTACAACAGCATTTCACAGGTTTACTTTGGGCCACAAAGTGACTCAACCTGAATTCTACTTTAAACATTGGAAACAGGATGAAGATGATGACTACCTGCCTGAAAATGTGACCTTTGCACCCAAAGATGTCACACCTGTGGATTTCACACCTAAAGATAATGTGCACGGACTGGCTTACAAGGGCCTGGATCCCCACCAAGCACTCTTTGGAATTTCGGGAGAACATTTTAATCTTTTCAGCTCGGGATCTGAGAGGGCCAGCAACCTTCTTGGAGATGTTGGACCAAGTAAAGGGAGAAAGCTGGGCATTTCAGGCCAGGTAAAAACATGTCTGGTTCATAAATGCGAAACTAGTGAGAAATGAGTATACTCCTGATTCTGTGAGCCCCATAGTAGGTGTTCATCTTTCAGTGAATGAGTGCCGTGGTATGTCTTCATTAGGATCTCTTCCTGAGTGTGCTCCTGAGACCCTGAGTGCTCTCGGTGGGTTGGGTGCTCCCAGGAGTGAGGACTACTGTCCCAACACACAGCGGGGCTGAGCAGAAAACGCTCTCAAAGGTCAAATCACAGTCTGCTTCTTAGACTATTGCCTAGTGCTGCAAATCCCAAGTGGCAAACATAGGTTTCGTTTTTACTCTGGAGATCTCTGATCAGAGATGGAGAGCTTTGATTAATTACAAGTCCTCTCAAATCATTTCAGAGGTTTTTATTCTTAAAAATGCATTTAGAAAATGGTTGCTTGTGTCATTCCATTATTACCTTTTCTTCCCTATATGTGTTCTGCCCCCAACCTTTTTAATAAAAACTGACTTAGATGGAGGCTATTCCCCACAGAAGATCAGAATTTCTGCCGGCGGCTGTCATACCAGCTGTGGACCTCAGGCCTTGGCTGCAGCCCTGGAGCAGGCAGCATTGATCTGGAGATGAACGGTTCTGCCCTTGCAGCCACCGCTGCTTGGTTTGCCTTCCCCTCTTCTCCCTGTGCGGGGACCCCGCGGCTGCCGCTATGCGGGAAGGCAGCTCTAGTGCTGAAGGCCTGGTTTTGCTTCTAGTCGTTTCCTCAGAGACTCAAGTATTACTCTGAGCCCCCTTTCCTTCTCCCGATGCAGTCCTTGAAGTGCTCATGTGGTCTCTTCAGAGACATCTACTTGGGAACTTACCGTTGCTCAGTTTGAAACCTTGTTTTCTGAAGGCTTTTGGTGTAGGTGCCCTGGAAGAGGAAGATGATGATATTTATGCCACAGAAACTCTATCCAAGTATGACACCGTTTTGAAGGATGAGGAGCCTGGCGATGGGCTCTACGGCTGGACGGCGCCCAAGCAGTATAAAAACCAAAAAGGTAATTCCTTAGAGTAACAACCGCCAGGAGAAGCAGATGTCAGACTGTCAGGAAGACGGACGGGGTGACCACATTGACTCTGGAGTGGCAGCCTTCATGGACTAGGTGGTTGCTGGCTAACAATATGGGTTGAAAACCAAGGTGGGTAAAAGAGAGACCCAGTGCAGGAGTAAGACTGAAGCCGTAAATGGCCAGGCAAAGGCTAAAGCCAGCTGTTGAGACGGGGCCAAGGTTGGGAGGAGGGAAGCAGCCATAATGTGGTGGAGGTCAGAGTTGGCAGTGGGTCACAGGGAAGCAGTCAGAGTGTAAAGTGAGACCAGAATGCACTCAGGCTGTGAGAATTAAGTGACCTAATTCTGTGCCTGGTAGAGTGCCCGCCCAATGGCCGCTACTGTTCTTGTGACAGTCGTAATAACAACCACTAAAATCATGTGCAGGAGCTGAGCCATGAGAGAAAATAACCTCTGCAGATGGTTTTTAGCTCTAGTCACATCAAAGTTTGATCAAACGCCAAAATATACCTGCTGAACTTATCTAAGTATGGCAGGAGAATCTATAAACTGAATAGTGTTTATTTACATTTCTAGACAAGAAAAAGCAGGTAAAAAACAGTATTCAGAGGATGTGTAATTGAATATGATTGTGAACACAAACCCTGGAGACTGTCTGGGTTTGGCTTTCCTCATTCCCTGTGAATATCTAAGTTTTTTTAACCTCTGTCCCTCGGTGTCCTTTTCTGAAAACTGGGGAAGACAGTAGCATACCTCGTTCATAGAGATTCTTAAAATATGTGAAGGGCTGGGAGCAGGCCTGGCCCACTCTCGCATCGCATTCGAACCTTAACTCGCTAAGCTTTTAAATCCTAATTTCAAGTGAACAGTTATTTTTCATCCAGAAAGACATACCTTAGAAATACCAAAGATCTTACACAAGGCCGTGGGAAGGATATTATTGCTAGGAGTTACCCTAGGTGGTGGGATCGTGTTGTTTGCTGTGGACTCAAGTCTGACTCTTAATGAACTGGTTCCCAGGGTTTCCCAGGCTGTTATCTTTAGGGGAAGGAGCCCTGTTGGCACTATAGGATAAGCACTAGCCATAGGTTTGGTAGTTAAAACCTACTGGCTGTTCCTTGGGAGAGAGATGAGGCTTTCTGCTCCCATAAAGATTCACAGACCGCTTTGAGTCCTAATCAACTCTGTGGCAGTGGGTGGGTTATGTGTATGGGAGCAGATCACCAGCTCTTGCCTCCTGTGGAGCCACTGGGTGCATTCTGACCACTGACCTGTCTGTTAGTAACCAAGCGCCTAGCCATAGCACTGCCAGAGTGCCGTGGTGACTTCTATTTTCTGCCTTTTGTCAGCCCATGTTTTGTGATACCAAAGCTATGTATTCTTCTTTTTTTAAAATACAATTTAATTAGAATTAAGAGAAAAGACATCGCTGGGTTAAAAGAATATGCAATTCTAAAAATTTGAGATGTAATTCCACATGGCTGATTTTTAGGGACATTCAGGAGCTGATGGAAAAGTGCAGCATGAGGTGAAGGACCAGGAATCATCTTGATAAAACAAAGCACTGGCTGCTCATGGTTCGTTATTAACTGTGAGTCTCAGGGCAGGCGGGGTGCCTGGCTCAGAGCCCAACACCTTGCTGTGTGAGGGCTCATGCTTATCGTGTGTGTAGAAGAGATTTGCCTGCGGACTTTTGACATAATCGCTGTGTGCAGGAAATCCTCTGAAACCAAGAAATCTTTGTGGCTGAAAGGAGCTCTTTTGGTGCAGTGGGTTAAGCCTTGGACTGCTCATTGTAAAGTTTGCAGTTCAAACTCACCAGCTGCTCCTGAAGAGAAATATGAGGCTGTCTGCTCCAGTCAAGACAAACGGTCTCAGAAGCCTGTTCAGCAGCTCCACCCTGTCCTATTGGGTTGCTAGGCAGTGGAATCCACGTGACTGCAGTGGGTTTGTTGCTGAGGTTAAACCCTGGCTCCAAGTTCTGGGGGCTCAGCCATTCTGTTTTTCAAATGTATGTCCTTTATCTTGTTAGTATTTGAGGAAAAGACAAAAAGCACCTTTCAGTTTACACGAAGATCAGATTACGGGGTAACCCAGTTTTGTCATTTCTTGTGTCTTATCTGTATCGTCGCTAAGGAAATGACTCTGGCACCCAATGCCGTCAAATTGGTTCCGACTCACAGTGACCCGCTCATCACTAGGATTATTGTTTTATCTGGACTTGGCCTTTTCACTGTTTTTCTAAAGGCCTTTTACTGCAGAGAGCATATGCTTTGGAACCCTTCACTTAAGACGTAAAGTGCGTTTTCTGAGATCACCGTGGCAGTCTAAACAGCCGGGTGGTGCGGGCCAAGCCCCAGTTACTGAGTCAATAGAGGTGTGAGGGCTGAGGTGCCATTCTTCCTTTTACTGTCTTTGGGTGACCTCATGCAAGACGTGTAGTGTTTATGTCCTTGGAGATAAGTTTCAGATATCTTCTGTTTCACTCTGATCTCTGCCTTGGTAATTCATCAATGACATCATTTTGTAGACTCAGAGAAAGATCTTCGCTACGTTGGCAAAATTCTGGATGGATTTTCCTTGGCATCTAAGTCTTTATCTTCTAAGAAAGTAAGAAAAACCTTTTTTTATTTTGAAAAATTTCTTTAATCGTCCAGTGCTTAAAATGTTTGCAACGATGTCATCTGTGTTATGTTAAAATGAGAAAAATAGGTAAATTGTATCTTTGAAAGCAGCAGCTTATTTACTAGTTACTGTCCAGGAAAACGATGTCTGCATTAGAAAGATCAGCAGCCACGGTACAGTCAAAACTCTAATTGCTTATCTTTTAAATCCTAACTTCAAGTGAGCACTTGTTTTCCACTAAGAAAGAAATACCCTAGAAATAGCCTCCCTCTTGTTGTATATTGCCTGCCCCATCATACATGTTAACATGTGTCTACTCTGTACCCTGTAAAGAATATCTCTCCTCTCTCCTCTGAACCACCCCCTTACCCATCTTGTATTTTTTTTTTTATCAAGGAAAAACCATCAATCTTTATGTGAACACACAGCCTCATCTTTTTCCTTCAGTGGTTTTGAACTCCTGGTCTTGAGGTTAGCAGTGCAATGCTTCGCCTACAGTGCCATTAGGGCTGAAGTTATGTGAAATAATTCAAACAGCACCAGACACTTAGGAAAGCATTGTTATGACTAGACATGACAAACACCATTAAAGGAAATGTGAGCTTTTTACTTGTATGGAAAGGGAGCCTAGTATTTAAGAGGTTGAGAAGTACTTTCTTGACTCTGGAGATTTCAGGGTATATAGGACGAAGTCCTGACCCGTGAACCCGCCCTTCCTGTGACAGTAGCAGACACACAAGTGCATTGTAGCGGGTGCATATTATTATCACCTGCTCTCCAGCTGGCTCTGACCTCTGTGACCCCGTGCACAACATGACAAAATGCTGCCTGGTCCTCTACCACCCCAGGATGGGCCATGAAGCAGACGGTTGTGGTCCACAGGGATTTCATTGACCGGTTTGAGGAAGTAGCTCTCCAGGGTTTTCTTCCTAACCCATTTTATTCAGGAAGCTCTGCTGGGATCTTCGTAACAAACTGCAAGTCTTAGAGTGGCCTCAGTGAGGGTCAGAGTCCTGGGCATTCCTGAGGAGGCTCTTGGCTGGAGCAGGGCTGTGGTGTGAAGGAGTCTGAGGAGGGCCCGGCTCACTTAGTGCAAAAACGCCGCATAGGCCATGCCTCACTTCCTCTGGCTTCACCAAAGTCAAGACTAGTGCCAGGCCTATTTCTATGAAGTGGAGATCAGCCATGTCTCCACCCTACCACCTCCTTTACCCTCTTCCGACACCAGCTTTCTGCTGCACCCCTGACTGTAGTAGTCCGCACAGTGGCCACAGAGAACTCAGAGAAAACTCATGTGATGGGCTTATTAGGAAAGTGAGCAGGGATTCAGGATCCGAAACAAGGCAGGATGAGCAGTCCTGCAGTCAGGAACGCCTTGTCTCTGACGAGCTGCAGACACGCCTTGCTCTTGTCTTGGGCTTCCTAGACTTGTGGCCCCTCTGTCCTGCTTGGACAAGTGTTACAAAGCACCTTTAGCTAGTCTGTAAATAACCAAAGAGCACCTTCTACAAGCCACCCTCCTGGCCGTCGGCACTCAGCTTTCCTGGGTCCGTGCGCCTAGAAGTCCAGAGCTGCTCTGTCTCTCCATGCCAGGTAGGGTTTCATGCTCCATTCCTGCTCTTCCTTCTTGATGACCCTGGGACTGTCTGTTACTGCTTCTGAGATGGCTCCCTTTGAACCTAGTGGGCTAGAAGAACTAATGTATCCTAGTGTTAGAACACCCTATTTGCATGGTCCTTACCAATCATTTAAGGTGCTTTGGTAGTGTAGTGGTTATGATTCAGGCTGCTAGCCTGAAGGTCAGAAGTTTGAAACTACCAGCTGTTCCATGAGAGAAAGATGAGGCTTTCTGCTCCCATAAAGATTTACGGCCTTGGAAACCCTACGCAGGGTCACTTTGAGCCCAAACTGATTCCATGGCACATAACCCCCTCACCCCCCCCAAATCATTTGGTGGGCACTAAGACTTTGGATAGAAAAGCCACATCAAGTAAACGCAGGGTACCACACAGTTCTCTGAGCGTGGGATTAAAATCCAGCGTTGGCTGTGGAGGCAAACAGCACAAGAAGAGGTGCTGAGGACATAATGGAGCCCACTGAGAAGAATGTGCCCACAGCCTCTTCTGCCGTGTTCCTCCTGTGATTGGGAGGCAGTGGCATGAGTGTGCGTGCCAGGTGACTTGGGAGTCCAGGTGTTTCACAGAAGGTGACCAAGCTATGATAATACAAACTGAGTTAGGTAGATGAAAGCCACGTGTTTTTAGCAAAAGGAGTTGTGGAGGATCCCCTCCTTAGAGTGTGGTCCTCGCAGCTGTGCTGCCCAGGTTCCCTGATGTTGACGATACTGCTCTTCCATGGGCTTTCCTGAGTGCTGGGCCCTCCACCTGGGCCACTTGGAAAAGTCTAGTTCTACCAGACTTTTGGGGGCTGGGCTGTAAGCATCAGTATTGCTAAAACTCCCCAGGTGAGGCCAGAGCAGAACCAGATAAGGAGAAGCACAGCCTAGAGGATTTAATGCGCCTCTGGTGCCCTCCCCCTTCTGCTTTCAGAGAGCCTGAAAACCTAGTGAATGGCTTCATCAGCACTGCCCAGAACGATGTGTCTGTTAGGTCAGACACAGGGGAGACCATTTAGTGTATTCATTGATTAGGATCTTTTTACAGTAATTAAAAATTACCTACTGTATATACCTTATTTGTTCTGCCATCATCAATGCCTGTCAATTTTGGAAATATCTGAATATTCCAAATACATATCCGTTTCACTTCAGTCACCTTTCAAAAGTATATTGGTTCAAAAAATAGGACCTTAGCTAAGTCAATCACGAAGGACAAATAATGAATAACTTTAGTTGTCTAAAAAGACAAGAAAAGGCAAATGTATAGAGAATAAACTTTATTGGTGCTTCCCCGGGTCAGGAGGGAGGGGAAGCAGAGGGTTAACTGTGATGCAAGTATTGCGCTGATGCAGGGTAGGATTGCAGACTGTTGTAATTGTTGTCATTAAGTGGTACACCTGTGGACAGTTGAATTGCTAGATTCACTAGGGTCAGTCAAGAAGCATTGCTACAAAATCATAGAAACCTTGATTAAACAAAAATAACAAGAAGTGAAGCGATTTTTCCTTCACATGCCTTCCAGTTAGGTCTGTACACTTCTGAAGGTGGTGGGTTCCACCTTTCTAACCCTGAAGAGTCTGTGCTGGATTTCGACAACATCAAAATGACACTTTGGGCCTACTTGAGACACTCAGATCATGTTGCTTCAGTGTTCTTTGAGTTTGGGTAAAAAACAGGGTCTGAAGGGGCAAGACAAGGGCTGTAGGGTTGATGGGGTTTCCCCATAAAAGCTTCATAGGACAGCCTTGGCTACCTTCGAAGAATGAGCAGGTGCATTGTTTAGATGGAAATAAATTCCTTAGTGCAACTTTTCTGGTCTTTTTCTCACCAATGCAGTTTTCCATTTCCTTAAAACTTCCTTTTAATAAGCCCCCATGATTGTCCTGTGTCCTTCAAGAAAACCTACCAAGATGACCCTTTTGAATTGGCGAAAGTAGTCACTGTAACCTTCTGAGCTGACCTCTCTGCCTTGACTTGGACTGGCCCAGCAGAGCCCCTCAGCAGTCACCATTTTGATTGGAGCTTGGTCTCTGGATCATATTGGCAAATTGAAAACTTGTCCCGGTTATGATTCGTTCCATAAAATCATATTCATTAGCTTCAATCTTGCTTACAAGCTCGATGAAAAGATCGCTTCTCTGAGCTAGCTGATCGTGGTGCAGTGCTTTTGGCACCCATCCAGCTGACAGTCTGCTGAAGCCAAAGGTGGTCACTAAAAATGGAAGAGTCTGAACTGTATGAGATGGCAACTTCCCGTCTTCTTCCACCGGTTTCTTTAGTCCTCCCAGTTGACAGTTTTCCCTGTTTTATCTTTGAGGTCTTCCCAACCTTCCTTAAAATGTTTGATCCGTCTAAAAACTGTCGTTCTGTGTGGGGCAGCATTCCTGTAAAGTTGTTGCAAAGCTTCAAATGATTTGGGAAGGTGTCCACTTGAATTTTGTTAAACATTTGATATTGACCTAGACCTCAAAATATTTTTTTTTCTGTGGTTCAAAAAATACCCTTTTTTCCCCTGAAGTCACCCTAACTTCTGGAGCCGTGACAGATGGCTGGGTTCCTGAAACCATTGCCCAGATACTCTTTAAACCTGGAATGAAAGAGGAACTCCTGAAGTCTTCTTCAAACGAGACAATAACGTAACTAGTAAACAGTGCTTTGAGCATTATGATCTTTTAAGAACGATCTATGTGGGATCAAATTGATGATAGCCATGAAGATGAATAGATAGACTCTTCAGGGACCGTGACTTTGTGTTAGTGAGCAAGGAACAACTCAGACAAGAAGGTGAGAAAGGTTGCACAACCCGAGAATATAGTCAACGTAACAAAGTGTTCTATGTTGAACCTTGAATTGCTGTGTATTTTGCTATGTATATCTTAACAACAACATAATAAATAAATTTTTGAAAAGAAAAAAAAAAATAGGACCTGAAGTTTCTATTTCAAATGAAAACATAACTAGAAAAAGAAGTCAGAATTTAAATCTTAGCAGAGTCATGTTTTTTTTCCTAAGCCTGACTCACGCTTATTCTGAAGTGTCTGCCTTGGCATGAGGCAGTTGTGCATGCAGGACACCAGTGTGTTGTGTTCACTGTCCTCATCTTTATTGTTATCGTATAGACATCTCTTAGAAGGGACAGGAGGGATATTAAGCACATCTGACCACTGGAAGAGTTTGTTTCTGGTGACCTTCCCAGTGGACACCAGCTGGATAGGCTGATCCCAGTACTGAGTGTCAACTTGGGAAGGAGTTGGGGCTGATAATGCTCAGAGGGAACAGGTTTCCATGGTGACGTGAAGCCTGATCTGTCTGTAGCTGTATTTTCTGTTTCTTTTTCTTTTTTTTTAAATTTAAGATTTATCCTCCACCTGTGTTGCCAAGAGACTATCGGCCAGTGCATTATTTCAGCCCCGTGGTAGCGGCAACCTCAGGAAACACCCACTTGGCTCTGGTATTATCAGAGTCATCTGGAAAGGCAGAATGCGACTCAGGGGCACGTGGTAGGCACCAGCTGAACGCCTCCAAGCGAGGGGACCTGCTGGGAGAGAAGCCTCTTCAAGGTATGAAGTCATAGCATTGAAAAGAATCCATTTTTCCAGCATCAGTTCGGCTTGTGTTATTAAAATCCTTTTCTTAAGTTCAGCTGTTTAAAAATGTTTGATGTGTTTCTAGGACTGTGGTTAAGACCAAGGACGTTTGTACCTTCACTTTCTCTGCACAGCCTGGGGAAAGTATGCTTTTTCCCTCAGAGACACAGAGAGAGCGAGCCAGAATGGTGTAATGTTTCCCAGAAGCCTGAGTGGGAGAAATGTGATGCATCTTCTGTGGGATGCAGCACAAAGAACCCTATGAAAGCTGGACTCAATGGGCTCATCCTAATAAATATGACCAATATGAAGAGCTCCTGATGCCCACTTCCTCCCCCAGACTTGCTCTCCCATGTCAGTAACTGAATGAATCCTAATAAATATGACCAATGTGAAGACCCCAATAAAGCTCCTGATTCCCCATATCCTTCCCCAGACTTGCTCTCCCATGTCAATAACTGAATGAATCCTAATAAATATGACCAATATGAAGACCCCAACAAAGCTCCTGATTCCCCATATCCTTCCCCAGACTTGCTCTCCCATGTCAATAACTGAATGAATCCTAATAAATATGACCAATATGAAGACCCCAACAGAGCTCCTGATTCCCCATTTCCTTCCCCAGACTTGCTCTCCCTGCTCTCTGCATTTTCTCAGGTTCCACCTTGATCTGGCTCCTCTTCTCTCACCTCAACTATTCCCACAGCTCGGTGTTGGTCACCTAATTTCTCTTCATTTCCTGGTGCAGTTCATTCCTCTTGGTAAACCAAGTGATATCACGACCCCCTTAAGACCCTCCAGTTTCTCTCACACTTAAAGAAATATCCTCACAAGGCCCTACACAGTCCAGCCCTTGCCTGCCCCCCTTTCCTTCATACCTGCTGGGGGCCAGCCAAGTATGGTCCCATCTCAGGCCCTTTATGTTTGCTGCTTCCGCCACTTCTCTGCTCCCGCCATATTTTTTTAGTATGATTCCTTTGTATGACTTAGGGCGTGTATCACCCGCTATTTCTCTGTTGAGACCTCTGGGCCTTCCTCCATCCCCTATCAGCTAGTTTTCTCTCCCTTCACACCCCACTGCCAGCCTACATGCTAGCCCCCTCAGTCACCTTGCCCTGTTTCCTTTTGTCATGACACTCTGCTCAGCACAACCCACCGGTGTGGATTCAGGCTTCCTGAATGTCCATCCCTCTCACTAGTAGGACTGGGCCCCTCACCTGCATACACCTCAGCCCTAGCCTAGTGCTTGTGCCATGAACGAATGCGCTGGGGATGGTTGTGCCCTGAGCTAGGGTGTGGGCGCCACAGCCTGGAGATCTGGAGTCCAGGGTGTTGTTCCTCGTCCTGGAAGCACCCCCTCAGCTCCATAAACAAGTGCTAACCTCCATTTTTACCAGCTACAGATAGGAGTCTCATAGAGATCATTTAATTTTCGTTTTTAAACTTTCTGTTGTGAATTGGGTGAAGGCGTGATTACAGAGCGGATCATGCTTTTACATTCAACAAATCACTGACTTTGTTTCATGGCCATGACTGCAATCCCCTCAGTTACCAACAGTAGTTTTCTCGATGCCTTTAAGTCTGCCACTCCTCCCTGGTTTCCAGCTGTCTTCTTCTTTCTTCTGCCCACCACCCTCTTGGGGTGCGTTGCCTTCCCCATTGCCCAAGTTAACAGGTGTCTAATTTGAAGACAAAAAAGCATTACATTTGAAAATACTCACATCCAATGATAGAAATGTATGGTATTGAAAATGTCTGCGCAGTGAAATAGGAATGCAGTTACCTTATGATACTTTTCATCTCTTTTCTCTGTTACTTTTATCTAGGTTCAACCACTTCAGTTTTAGAGTTTCTGTCCCAAAAAGATAAAGAGAGGATCAAAGAAATGAAACAGGCAACTGACCTTAAAGCGGCTCAGCTGCAGGCCAGGAGTCTAGCCCAGAATGCCCCGAGTGGGAGAGCCCAGCCTTCCTCTCCGGACACTGGACACTCTTCCTGGACCCCAGCATCGAGCGAAAGGACGGCCGTCACAAGAGCCAGCAACTTCAAACCCTTCACAAAAGATCCAGAGAAGCAGAAACGATATGAAGCCTTCTTAGCAAATATGAAACAGGGCCACAAAGGTGGGTGCTTGCCTGGGGTCCCCCATGTCTTAGCCAGGGGTAGCCTTCTCCCCATTTTCACCCTAACTTCCTTCCGGTTTCAAGTTGAAGTCTCCTCTGCCAGGGTTTTGGCTTTGGCCTGCTGCAGATAGTGCAGACGCTTAAGACTGCATCTTGACCTTGGAAGGAAAGAACCATTAGCCAAGTAATTGTGTTTCTCTGCATCTGGGATTGCAAGTCTGTTTTCACACCCAGCTTGCCTTGGCAGTGGCTAATGCTCAATGACAGTCTGTTTACTGTTTGTAAGTGCTTCTGTAAGTGCATTCCACACCAGGGGGCAGATCTTAAGATCCTAACCCAGAAACCTAGTCCAGACCCCCCTCTGTGGAGTCGATGCCAACTTGCAGAGACCCTCCAGCACAGAGAACTGCTCCCTAGGGGGTCCAAAAGTGTGCATCTTTGTGGAAACAGACAGCATCACCCTTCTCCCGCAGAGCCCGACATCCAAATGAAGTCTAAACTTGGACGGAAAGACAGTTGGTTATAAAAGTTGAATCATTGCATAAGGGCCAGTCCCCTGTGATGGAGGAAGTCAACAGAGCAAGGGTGAGAGGGCATTACTGTCCTGTGAGAGGGTCTCAGTAAATTAGAGGCATTGTGTCTCAGTAGCAGGGCTTTGGAGAAATAGCAAGTACACCTACTACTGTGTCTTCGCTCCTGCTGTTGACCTGCTCAAAGAAGGAGAAAGTTGTTCTGCTCAAGCATAGTTGGAAAGCATAGTTGGAAACAGTGACACGTTGTTTCCTTCAGAAGATTTGTCCAAGTCCCTCAAACAATTTTCTCTGTTCGATACAGTGACACTTAAATAAGAGCATCTTTTTTTGTATAAAATAACTTTTATGTACATAATTTATATCTATAGAGCATAATGGAACTGCTTTCTTTGGCACAAGAAAACTTACAAATGACAGATGTTGCTTTATTGTCAAAGACTTCTTCAAGCAAGATACTATATGTGGTCACTTCAACTTGACATAACATGGTGGTCAGCAGTGGTTATTAATATTCTTATCTGTGCCCGTATCATTTACTAACAATTAGGCTTTTTTCCCCCTTTTTAAACTTTTTATTGTGAATTGAGTGAAGGAGAACAGACAAGATCATCTCATCATTTTACATTAAACAAATTTTATTCTTTGTTTCACCTCAATGATCACAATCCCCTCCCTTCAACAACAGTGATCTACTGCCTCCCTGTGTCTTCCCTTTTCCATCTTCTATTTCACAAATGAGTAGAGCAAAAATATTTGATGTACACATACAGAACAAAATATTTATATTCATTTACATGTCCTCAGGGCATAGTCTGCAAGCCAGCCTCCTGTCTGTAGCACACAGCCTTCCTCAGCCCATGGGCCTAGGGCCCGCAGCTCCTCTGTCTTTTCGTGCCACAGCCTCTGCTGTCGTCTGTTCTGTCGCTGCATTTCTGGGTAGGGATCCCACGCCCCACTCATGCTTCCTTCTTGATGGTCCTGGGATCGGCTGTTCCTGAAGTGAAAGGTTAACTACTCCCCCACTTTTAGTTATACATCTTCTACAATTACAGTTGTGAAATCACAATTAATCCTACTAACAGTTATTCACAATTACGTCTAACAATTAGGCTCTAAGCCATCATGTTGATCACTTGCTAAGACATTAGGTGTTGCAAAGGAAAAGTCAAGAAAAGATCAAGTCCTTTAATGATACCTCCTTTAAGATTTACAAAACACACATTGTCTGCAATATCATAACATATGTGTCTTTGTAAGGTAAAATACCTTGTGAGGTAAATACACTGATTAACTTTCTCTCTCTCTCTCTCTCTTTTTTTTAATAAATGTTTTATTGTGAATTATGTGATAGTTTACATGGGAGAACATTAGTTTTAGTTTTACATTCATTCTATCATTTATCGTTTCATTGCCATAGTTACAATCCCATCCATGCATCATCAACCAACCAAAGGGTTGCAAGCCTGCTCCCACCCTGGTCGTCAGCACACAGCCCCTTTCCCTCTCTGGATCTCAAGTCCCCAGCCACTCCATCTCTCCACGTCATCCTCTCTGCCTCCATCTCAGGCATCACTGCTTCTCTGGGTAGGGTCCCCTGCTCTCTGCTCTTCTCCATTGAAGGTCCCAGGGCCCTCTGCTCCTAGACTGAAAAGTTAATCACTCCCCTCCTTGCTATAAAATGTCCATCTTTACATTTCCAACCCTCACAATCAGTCCTGATAATAATTATTCACTATTGCATCACAAGAGACGCCATGCATTTCATTTCATCAGCCCTTCCTAGACAGGTTGGATACTACTCAGTGGAGATTCTACCTTCCTCCACGCCCTCTGGATCTAGGTTCCCTCTTGAAAGCTTGTAAGCCAGTCACTTCTTGCCTTTGTAACACCCCCATTTTGGGTAGCCAATGTCCATAACTTTCTCTTTTTGCAAGATTAGCTTTAAGGATATAACAGGATCGTTTAGCTGGCTGACCTGATTCTCTTAACACGTGTCCAAAGATAAAATCATTCTTTATACAGTAAGAAATTACAGTTTTCACAGACTTTATTGTAGATGAACAAGTGTCAGATGTTAGGTTAAAAGTTAAAAAAAAAAATTATACAGTGAATAATAGTTTAATTGTGACAATCTATTATTCAAACTAACACTAATTAAGAGAAACAAGCTTTGTCAAAATGAATTTTTTTTTTGTTTTAAATTACAAAAACAGTATTAAAATAGCAATGTGACTTACTACACAATAATTTTTTTGGGCATATTTGTCACATGAAATATGACACCTATAGAGAATTAGAGAGTCATGTATTTTACAACTTTTTGTTGTGAATTGAGTGAAGGTTTACAGAGCAGATCGTCAGTGTTACATTAAGCAAATGGCGTATTTTGCTTCATTACACTGGCTACAACCCCCTCCGTGTACAAACAGTTAACAGTATTTACCCCTATCCACTTTAGCTACTGTATTCCTGCCTGTGCCTCCCAATACCTTCTTCATCTTTCCTCTGCCAACCTCTCTCATATATTGGCTGCCCTGACACCCGTGATAACATGTGTCTTCCCCCTACGTGTGAATAATTCTCCCCTGCCCCATCACTGTTTGTTTCTTTTATCAAGAAATCCTCCTCTCAACTTTTACCACATTGGTCTCATACAGTATTTATTCTTTTGTGATTGACTAATTTTACTCAGCCTAATGTCTTCCAGGTTCATCCATGTTTTGAAATGTTTTTCAGATTCATTGTCATTCTTGAGTGTTACATAGTATTCCACTGTGTGCATGTACCAAAGTTTAACCATTCTTCTATTGATGGGCATTAGGCTATCTCTATCTTTTTGGTGTGTCTCTTATAGATAGCATATTGAAGAGTTCCATTTTCATATCCATTCTGCTCTCTCCATCTCATGACTGGTGCATTTAATCCATTTACATTCCGTGTAATTATCGATAGGTCTGAAGGCATTGCTGTCATTTCGCTGTGTGCTTTTTTGTGTTACTGCTGGCTTCTGTGTTCCACTTTGTTTTCCGCACTGAGTTCATTTTGTCTGTGGGTTTTCTTTTAATTTTCATTTCTGTCATGTTAATGTTTATGAAATCTTTGTGATTTTCCTCTCTTTTATTTTGATATGAAGGTATGTTAATTTTTTTGAGGTTACCCTATAATTAATTTATTTTTTCCCCATTAAAAATCATCTCTTTTATCTTGAAATCTACTTGACTTCCTCGCCATTTGTAAGTTAAGAGCATCATTTTAAAAGAGAGCACAACACCTCCCCACCAGGTACCCTTAAAAGACAAAAGTGGCTAGCATTCAGAGATAGGATTTGTGTTTTCTGTGGTGTAATAAATACCCAAGGCTAGAGTGTACCCACCAGGGGTTGTCCTGTAAGCCCCTTGTTATTCCTGGGAGTGAAACAGTTTCTTGTTCTCTGTACCACAGATGCTCTGGAAAGATGTCTGGATCCTCATATGACTGAGTGGGAGCGAGGCCGTGAACGAGAGGAGTTTGCTCGAGCCTCCCAGCTGTATGTGTCTTCCCATTCCACCTTGTCCTCCAGGTTCACTCACGCCAGGGAGGAAGATGACTCGGATCAAGTTGAAGTCCCTCGAGACCAAGAGGTCTGCCGCCATCCTGTCCCTCTCTGGTGAATTTGAAAATTAAAGCTCCACAACCAAATACATTAACTCTCTGAGTAAAAATATTAAAATATACGTAGCCTACTAGACTAAGAAACAGTTTTGTGAATTAGATTCCAGCACCTACAAGTACTGTACCAAAAGTGTCAGGTGCCATGAGCTGTTCTGTAATTTTAGAAGATCGCTTGAGAACGTTTGAGTGGAAAAGCAGTGAATTGAGTGCCTACTTGATGAAAATGAATGAATGTGTTTTCCCAGAATGACGTCAACGACAAGCAGTCGGCTGTGAAGATGAAGAGGTTCGGGAAGCTTACCCGAGACACGTTTGAGTGGCACCCCGACAAGCTCCTGTGTAAGAGGTTTAATGTCCCTGACCCTTATCCAGAGTAAGTTGGACACACCCACCTTTGCCCCAGACCAAAATGAATTCGCTCAAAGAAAAGCCAACTTACCCTTCACATGCTTGTATACATCCCCTTTTTCTAGATGCACTTGTAAGTCCTTGGTTATGAACTTTTTGCAGATTTACATGAACTTCTACTTGTTTCCTACTGGAAATAAACCCCCCAAAATTAAAAACAACAACACCACCCAACCCTCCTGATAGCACATTGAAGATTGGAACAAAACCCTGCCCATCCTGCACCAGCCTCCCCGTCGTGCTGTGTTTGAACCCATTGATGCAGCCCCTGGGTCAGTCCATCTTGTTAAAGGCCTCCCTCTGTTTTAGCTGACCCTCTACTTTACCAAGCAGGATGTCCTTCTCCAGGGACTGGTCCCGCCTGACAACGTGTCCAAAATACATGAGATGAAGTCTCACCATCTGACTTCTCAGAAGCACTCTGGCTGTACTTCTTCCAACATAGCTTTGTTTGTTGTTCTGGCGGTCCATGGTATATTCAGTATTCTTTGCCAGTACCATCAATCACAAGCATTAATACTTCTCTGGTCTTCCATATTCATTGTTCAGCATTTTTAAAAAAAACAAACAAACTTTTTATTGTAAATTAACTGAAGGTTTACATGGTAGATCATCAGTTTCACACTCAGCAAATCCTACACTTCATTTCATCTCAGTGATTGTGGTCCCCTCAGCATAACATCACTTATCCCATTTCATCTCTATGTTTCTTGTTTACATTCTTCCTTCGTTCCCAACCCTTCTAAATTTTGTCCTTAGGTAACTGCTGCCCTTTTGGTTTCTAATAGATGACCATTTTGTGTTGTGTATACCTCACTAGAGGTGTTATCCCCCCTATATACCTACCTATTCCTTAGCTGTAAATTAAGCTGCAGGGGTGAGTTCAATTACAGATGTGATGGACAACCAAAGGCCAGAGTCTCGGGGTTCCATCAGTCTCTGTCTGACCAGCACAGTTGGTCTTTTTTATAGTTTTGAGTTGTGTTCTACATTTTCTCCCACTCTGTCCGGGACTTGTATTGTGATCCCTTTCAGAGCAGTTGATAGTGGTAGCTGAGTACCATTTAGTTCTTCTGGTTTCAGGGTCATGGAGTCTGATGTTCATGTGGTCCCTTAGTCCACTGGACTCATTGTCTCTAAGCATCTTCAGTTTTCATCACTCATCTCCCCTCTGCACAGGAAGAAACTGACAGTCGCACCTTAGATGGCTGCTCATGAGTGTCTGAGATCCCAGTCGCTACTCCCCAGAGTAGGATATAAAACATTGTCTTTGTGGACTATGTTCTGACAATTTCATTGTCCAGCTTTCACATGCATATGAGGTGATTGTGTCAGACAGACCGTATAGTCCTCAAAGTGACAGGCTTTGCTTTGATATCTGTTATAAACATCTTTGGGGGCCTTTTTAGACCAAAAGAAAAGCTGGTAAAGAAAAAACCCCTTGAGATTGAAAGCTTTCCAGAAAGTGGATTTTATCCTAGTAGTTCTTATTAAAAGTATCTTTTTTTTAAACCCCCAGTTCTACATTGGTTGGATTACCAAGAGTGAAACGGGATAAATACTCAGTCTTCAACTTTCTGACACTTCCAGAGACCTCCTTGCCTGCCATTCAAGCATCGAGTGTAGAAGTGCAGCAGCACCAAGGTCCCAACAGTGAGTGGGGGTTTCAGTAGGTCTGAGTGTTGGCCAGGGCCTCAACCCTCAGCCTGTTGGGAAGACAGAAGTAAAGGGTTATGTAGTCTTAAATTCGAGTATGCCGATTGTATGAAATCTCTCCTTTGGGAGAATTGCGTATGTTAATGAATTAGCTCATGTTAGACTGACCCATAGGTACGGCGTTTCAGGTTGAGGCTCAGTCTCAGCCGTGCCACATCCCAACACCTTGCACAGTGCCTGGCCCATGGTAGGGGTGCTGATGTTACTGAATGAATTAAAGAGTTGGGGCTTGTCTTTTGTGTGCTGTAGTTTTGTTTGTTTTTTTCTGACTTTTTGTCTATATTACCTTTCAGAATCAAGAAAACCTTCTAGATGGGATACATCTAAACAAGAAAATAAAGATGATTCCATTAGTGAATTTTTAAGTTTTGCTAGATCAAAAGTTGGTACACCTAAACAAGAGTCCAGTCCACCAGTGAAGAAAGAGGAAGCGCGTGTAACGGAACCACTCTTGAATAAGGTATTGGGGCTTCCAGGTCCTCTTCACCAGGCTGATGGCTTTTGTCTTTCTGTAAAGTGATGCCTTCTTTTCATTGCTTGATCACAGCGGGGTCATCCAACTTTTTCTGTGAAAGACCCCACAGTAAGTATGTTAGGCTTTATTAGCCGTACAGTCTTTACTGCAGCTACTCAGCAATGCTGTTGAAAGTGGAAGCAACAATGGACAAAATGTAAATGATGGAGTGTAACTGTGTCCCAATAAAGTTTTATTTACAAAGACAGGGAGTAGGTTGGATTTGACCCATGGGCTGTAGTCCGCTTTACAGTCCAACTTTCATTCAGAGTCATTTAAAGAGAGATGGTCATGAACTCTCTTCTGGAATGGCTTTCATTTGCCATTACCCTTTGAAACAAATGTCAACATACTCATATTGGAAAACAAAAACTTCTAAATGATAAGCATTTTATAGAGAATGTAGACAAAATCATACAGTTTTAAAATACTGTTTTAGACTGTAATAATGAAAACGTGAGCATAATTAAAAGTCAGTTTTTATTTCTATCAAATAGCTTCATTCAAAAACTTGTATTTTTTTTAAATGAACATACTTTAAAAATAGACTTTTTACAATGTAGAATTCAGTGAATTTTAACACAGTTATAGGTTCTTGTAATCACCAGCATAATTAGTAACCATAACAGGTATGGTGCCCTCACCTCCATAAACAGTTCACTCACCTCCACAATGTCTCTCACCCTGTCCCCTTTTAGGTTTTCTTCCCACCAACCCTGAGCCACTGGCAATTACTAATCTCTTCTCTGTCCCATAGTTCGCTTTTCCCAGAAAGTCATATAAATAGAATTATATAGTACATAGTCTTCTTTTTTTTTTTTTTTTCTTTTTAAACTTTTTATTGTGAATTGAATGAAGGTTAACAGACAAAATCATCAGATTTACATTCAGTAAATTATACCGTTTGTTTCATCTCAATGATTACAATCCACTCCTTGCAACAAAAAGTTATCCTACTTCCTCCCTGTGGCTTCCCTTTTACATCTTAGGTTTCATACATGAACAAAGCAGAAATATTTGATGTACACATACAGAGCAAAAAATATGTAGATTCCTTTAAATGTCCCAAGGGCATATTCTGCAAGCCAGTCTCCTGCTTGCAGACACACAGCCTTAGTCAGTCCAGGGACCTGTAGCCCGCAGCTGCTCTGTCTTCTGCTGTAGCTGCTTTTCTAGGTAGGATCTCACACTCCACTCATGCTCTTCCTTCTTGATGGTCTTGGGATCCTCTGTGCCTGAAATGAAAGGTTCCATTTGAATGTATTGATTTTATTTTTCTCTTTATATATTCTTTTAGTGATTAGGAATTAAAATATTGTACATACTTGTAGTTAGAATTAATATTTCTTAAGTAGAATATAGAAACCTTACCAGTATATAGGTCTTTACTTTGACTTGAGTTTATACAAACATACCGTCTCTTTATTTTGATAGCCCAAACATCCGTGCTAAACATTGTATGCCGTGGAGTCAGTTCCAACTCTAAATGACCCTGTGTAGGGTTTCCGAAGCTGTATATCTTTATGGGAGTGGAGAACCTCATCTTTCTCCCGTGGTTTGCAGCCCAACTCGTAACCGCTATGGTACCAGGGTTCCTTTAAAGGTCTATAACTTGAGCTTATTTTAGGGAGAGTGAAGTGTAATTCCAAGGAGAAATTCCTTGACAGTTTTATTCTGCCACCCTCTTTTTGGGTTTCTGCCACCCTCTTTTTTCTGGAGAGGGTTTGCAGTATATTTTTCTGGATCTTTCCACGGGTAGGCTGTCTTGCGGAAGGCAGACCTGGCAGCGTCCTTCCGAAAGATCAGTTATTGGAAGCCGCATGGACGCAGTGCTGCTCTGACACAGGCACTGGAATTGACTAGATGCCTACAAGTTATTTTTGTTTCTTTTTTTAAGACTGTCATGATTGCTTTCATGGTAGATCTCCGAAGGCTTCGCTAGAGTAATTATATTTACCAAGGAGGATTGTTAGCAGGATACATAAACAATGCTGCCAGTGGTCAAAAATGCAATCTCTTTTTGAGAGTCTGACTCACTTTTGAATCTAAGACAGAGGCTACGAGGCTATTTCCTGCTACATGTTTCTAGGCCCAGTGAAATTCTGATTAACTACTCGTCTCCCCAAGAGCTCTTCCTGCTACGTAGTCCAATTACATCTGCCAGTTGGTGTAGACCATAGTTGTTGACTGAGAAACACCACAGAACCATACTGTGTTTAGGTTACTGTGAGTTTGGTTCTTGTGTAGTTAGGCAGGATACAGGCATACATACTCACATGCCGGGGCATAGACATAAAGGTGTGCGTGTGTATAGTCCTCACTGCTTCACTCCTTCCGCTTTTGCATCTTCATTCCTGACTCTTATCTCACTGTGAACACAGATGGTAACCCAAGGTATGGACTCACAGACTGAGGGAGAAGCTAGCCGCCCATCCATGGATTTATTCAAGGCCATCTTTGCCAGCTCCTCAGATGAAAAGTCCTCGTCTTCTGAGGATGAGCAGGGTGACAGTGAGGATGATCAGCCTGTGGCTTTGGAGGATGACTTCAAGCATTCCGAAGAGACTGGTTTGGTGGGAACATCATCAGTGGCACCTGGTACGTCACTGTTTCAGACTTGGGGGTCTAAAGGAGAAAAGGAGGATGTCTTTAGAAAAGTTGCCTCTAGGCTTAGCCTTTAACCTTACACTAGGACATCAACAATGTTGTTGTTAAGTGCTGTCAAGTCAGTTCTGACTCATAGCAACCCTGTATAGGATTTCTGAGGAGTGGCTGGTGGATTTGAACCGCTGACCTTGTGGTTAGCAGTCTATTGCTAATCCTACAGCACCATACCAGGACTCTGGGACATTACTAATTGATTATGTTTAATCTTTTTTATAGATTTCATTGGAAGGAGCAGAGTGCTTGTTTCTCTATGCTATACATTTTTAGAATAGCTGTGTTTCATAAAAGGAACCCTGGTAGCACATTGGGTTAAGCATTGGGAAGCTAGCCACAGGGTCAATGTTTCAAACCAAGCAGCCACTCTTTGGGAGAGAAATGAGGCTATCTGTTCCCTTAGATTCTTGGGAAGCCAATGAACACTTTTATTCTGTCTGTCGGGTCACTATGAGTGGGAATTGAGGGCAGTGGTGTGTGTTCGATACTAGTCATTTTTCTGATGACCATAGCTGAGAAAGTTATGTTGTAATATAGTACGTATAAGTTGTTGTTAAGTGCTGTAGAATCAGTTCCGATTCATAGTGCCCCTGTATAGGGTTTCCAAGGAGCGGCTGGTGAGGTTGAACCACCGATTCTGCAGTTCAAACCAACCTTGAGGTCAAGTGCTTATCCTACAGCGCTACACTAGGACTCCATACAAGTGGTAATGGAGTAGTTTTTAAACCTGGTTGGTGATGAGCTGCTAGAATTATTAGGAAACATTTGTTCATGAACCCTGCAGGGACTCTAGTGGTATTAACTGGTCTTCCTTGCAGGTGTATGGATATTACCCTATCACAGACAGCGTTATACTTCAGGATAGATTGTGAAGTGCTCCTTTTGATGATGAATGTGACACCATTCCTCTTCAGTGTATCATTCCCAACATAGAAAGTCAGGAGATTATTTGATTTGAAATGGCGAATACCAGTTCATTTCAACTCATTAATGCCAGGGTATCAATCGTTGTGCATTCCATTTCATTTTTGATGACTTCCGATTTTCCTAGGTTCATACTTTGTGCATTCCACATTGTGATTATTAAGGGATGTTTACAGCTGTTTCTCTTCATTTTCAGCAATGCCAACAAATGAAGATCCTGAAAGCTTTACTCCGTCTTGTAGCTAAAGACATCAATTAAAAGCTCAAACACACTAATATTTGTCAAATGAACGTTTGCTGTTTTTCAGCCAGTGAGCCGGCACCCCAGGCACCTGCACCTTCCTTCCCAATACAAAAGGTGCACATAGATGAGAGAGAAGAGTTCGGTCCCCGGCTGCCCCCGGTCTTCTGCCCCAGTGAGTAGAGAGTTTCTTGGTTCTTCTGTCTGCATCAGGAACAGTGTCTCTTCCGAGATACGAGATCCAAGCACTCAGCCAATAGGTGGAGGACCAAATAAACTGATTCTTTTCTTGATTCTACATTTTCAGCCATGTTTTGAAACTGTCATCTCTACCTAATGCCTAAATGATTGTTTTTTACTGCCTCACAGACCTTTAAACTTTGTTTGTCCTTTTTAATGTTCAGATGTGTAGAGTGGGTTCCTAACGTATCATAGATTTTGTCACTTATAGAGAGTGAAAATCTAGGAGGTAAAGATGTGAGGATGAGCTTACAGGAAGATGATTATTCTAAGCCTGACTTGTACTTTGGCTAATTTAGTCAGTGAAATAGAAGTGTAACTCTTTCAGAAGTAAATGCTATCCACCTTCCCTTCCGCAATATCTGCTGGCCACTTCTGTTCAGTGCCATGTTAAGTTGATATCTGGGTTTTAAATGTTTAGATTGATTTTTCGTCATTCGAAGCCTGGATTAACATACAAATGATAGCATGATCCAGAGATACAAATGATATATACTATACAGTTTCCTTTGGTACCCAGGAGTCCTGGTGTGGTGCTGTGGGCTAATATGTCAGACTGCAATACCATTTGAACTGCAAGGTCAGTGGTTCAAGCTCACCAGCTGCTTCTCGGCAACCCTATACAGGGTTACTATGGGTCAGAATTGACTCGACGGCACTTAACAACAACAACATAGTACCTACATAGGAATATTGGTTTGGTTAAATTAAAGCTATAAATATTCAGACCATTCTAAACATTTGTACTTTTAATTTACTTATAAATTAAAGAAGCAAAAAGAGAGAAGAGTTAATAGTGTGAATTTTTGAAAAATTGCAGTGGATGTATTTCTCATTTGCTTTTATTGTTCAGGTCTCTAGTTTAAACTGGGCATGCCAGCTCTTGAAAACAAAGTGATTTATCTTCCTTTCCCAGTAGGTCCTCATTGCCCTTGTAATTGTTAATAACTTAATTTGGTCTCTGGGTAATTGGTAGAATTGGTTTTCCAAAAATTAGTATTGAAAAAAGATTAAGGAGGTTTAATTTTGAAAAATATGACTACGTATGTTGTTGTTATTGTAAGTGCTGTTGAGTTAGTTCTGACTCATAGTGACCCTGTATAGAGTTTCTGAGGCTGTAAATCTTTGCAGGAGCAGAAAGCCTTGTCTTTCTCCTGCAGAGTGGCTAGTGGACTCAGACCACTGCTCTAGTGCTTCACAGTTCAGTGCTTATCCTATGGAACTAATGCACTCCAACTATGCTGTTGTTGTGAAGTGCCATCGAGTTGGTTCTGACCCATAGAGACCCTGTGTAGGGTTTCCGAGGAACAGCGGGTAAGCTTGAACCACCAACCTTGCAGTTTGAATGGATTTGATGTCTGGTGCATTAACCCACAGCGCTATACCAGGACTAGAAAATTACAAGTACCCCGTGATTACATTTGGAAAATATCCATATCTCTGAAGCTTCTTGAAACTTTTATTTTTAAAGTTGATTTAATGACTTACACTGCTTCTAGTATTGTGAATTTTTGCTGGTTTTGTTACCTGGGCTTTAATTACCTATGAAAACATTTTGGTCTGAATTTAGAGGTGAAGAATTTAGATACATGAAACTTGTCTAGCCATTTTTAATGATTACTGACATTATATTGTCTTGATAGATGCTAGATTTTATCTGCTTGTAAGATAAATTCTCATAAAATGTGCTTTGTAAAGAGAGGATGATATGAAAAAAGTTGCTATTTATATGCCAGATTCTGGGCTGTGGGGTTCGTGTTCACTGTCTCTTCTATCCTCCCTGTATCCCTATGATGCATGTTGCTGTTATTAAGTATCGTTCAGTCTGTTCCGATCCATAGCGACCCTGTATCAGGTTTCCAAAGAGCACTGGTGAGCTTGAAGCGCCAACCTTGCAGTCCAGTGCTTGTCCTACAGCACCACACCAGGGCTCTTTTAAAAAAAAAATTTTTTTTTTTTTTTAACTTCTTTTTGTGATTTGGGTGAAAGTTTGCAGGGCACATTGGTTTTCCATTTGACAAACACATACACATTTTGATTTGTGACGTTAGTTCAGTCCCCACAGTGTAGCCTCACTCATGTCACTTCCTCCCTGTGTTTAACCATTTCCACTCCTTTCCTGTCCCTCCCTCCCTTCTGAACTCTGCCCGTGGGTAGGAGCTGTTCTTTGATCTCATATGTTTGGTTCTGCAAGTGCATACCTCGCTGATGTTAACCGCTCACCTTATAGGCCCACCTTATTATTGGGCTGAAAATTGAACCATGGGAGTAGTTTAAAGGGCTAAAGGGGGTAACTAAGAGCCATAGTCTTTGGGGGTTCCACCAATTTTTATCAGACCAGCAAGCCTAGTTTTATTTTGTTATTTTGCGTTTTCTACTGTTTTCTCCCACTCTATTCAGGATTTACTATTGTAATCCCTTTCAGAGCAAGCAGCAGTGGTAGCTTGTACTGCCTACTTCTTTGGGTTTCAGAACTGTGGAGGTTGGGTTTACATGATTTATTAGTACTTCAGACTAATTGTTTCCATTGTTGTTGTTGTTAAGTACCGTTGAGTCAGTTCCAACTCTTAGAGACTCTGTCTAGGGTTTCCAAGGAACAGTTGGTGAACTTGAACCACCCACCTTGCGGTTCAAAACAACCTTGCAGTCCAGTGCATTAACCCACAGCGCCACATCAGGACTCCAATTGTTTCCATATTTCTTTGATTTTTTTTCACTGTTCTTTGCTCTGGGTGGGGAGAGACCACCAGATGCTCCCTTAGGCAGCTGCTCAGAAGCTTTTAATGCCCCATTCCATACTCATTAAAGTAGGATGTAGAGCATTGTTTTTGTGGATTATGTTGTATCAGTTGATCGTGACATTCCCTGGGACTGTGGTCCTGAGCCCCCAGACCCAGCAACTCATTCTCTCCCGGTATTTGATTACAGCTGGGAAGCTTTCATTAGTTTAACCCCCTGTCTGCTTTAACATTGTTATTAAGTGCCGTTGAGTCGGTTCTGACTCTTAGAGACCCTGTATAGGGTTTCTGAGGAGCAGATGGTGAGCTTAAACTGCCAACCTTGTGGTTCAAATGACCTTGCAGTCTAGTGCTTATCCTGCAGCTCCACCCCAGGATTTTATTATTTTTTTTAATGTTTTATTGTGAATTATGTGATAGTTTACATGGGAGAACATTAGCTTTACATTCATCATATCATATATCGTTTCATTGCCATGGTTACAATCCCCTCCAGGCGTCATCAGCCAACCAAAGGGTTTACCCTGCAAGCCTGCCCCTCCATCATCAGTACACAGTCCCTCTCCCTCTCTGGGTCTAGAGTCCCCAGCCGCTCCATATCTGCATGTCCACCCCAGGATTTTAATATAGATTTATTTGCAGCATATATAAATACGTACATAGCAACATCTGCTCTGGTACCTGTATCTATTCATGGGCTTCGTTCCACTTGCCTTCCCATTCCTGCTCAGCTAACTTGTCTATCTGTGTATCCATTCCTGTCATTGCAGGAATGTGTCTATACTAGGAGCACTTTTGTTACCTTTAGCTCCCGTGCTACTCCAGGGTCTTCCTTTGTCTTCATCGTTGTGGACTGATCTCTCCCTATTGTATGTTGCCTTTCCCTTCATCCATGTTAATATGTGTCTACCATTTAGCGTGGCACTGTAGCATAAGCGCTTGACCACATAGTCAGTTTGAACCACAAGGTTGGCAGTTCAAACTCACCAGCTGCTCCTCGGAAATCCTATACAGTGTCACTGTGGGTTGGAACTGACTTGACAACACTTAATGACAACAATAATAACCCTCTACTTAGGCATACAGAGTCCTGGTGTGGCGCTGTGGGTTAATGCACCAGGCTGCAAAGCTGTTTGAACTGCAGGGTCGGTGGTTCAAGCTCACCAGCTGCTCCTCGGAAACCCTATACAGGGTCACTATGGTTCGAACCGACTCGACGGCTCTTCACAACAACAACAACGTTAGGCATACGATTCTAATTATTCCCATTTTGCACATGGGGAAGCTGAGGCTTGAAGAGGTTCAACACTGTACTGTAGGTCTCAGTGCTCAGTGCAGACCTTGCTCTGTTTCTGAGCTTACCTGAGGATGTAGGGTTATAAAAGGCTTATGAGAATTCTGCTCTGACTTCATTTGGCATGAGACTGTTGGAATCACACGAGTCTTATGTTGAGCTTTCTGATGCTTTCTCGACATAGAACTACAAAGTGGTATGGGAATCGGTGAGGTAGAAGCCAATCAAAGGGTGGGCAGGGTTCTGTTTCAGTGTTAAACATTCCATCTAGGTCAGGCTTTTAGTTCCGTAAGTTAGTAACTTAATTTATAACTAGCCTATATATTCCCCTTCATCATGTGTATATTGGGAGCACTATGTTCCCATGCAATGAGCACTAGATTGTGAACCACAAGGTCCATCCATGGTTCAAGCCCACCAGCCACTCTGTGGAAGAAAAGTGAGGCTTTCTGCTTCCACGAATACTTAAAGCCTTGGAAACCCTTAGAGGGTTGCTACGAGTTAGAAACGACTTTTTGGCATTTAACAAGAGCAAGCCTGTATTTCCCCTTATTCATGATTATAATTTTGTTTTAGATGCTCGTCAGCAACTGGAGATACCGCAAAAGGAGAAACCTAAAAAGAACAAAGAAAAGCACAAAATTAAGAAAGAGCACAGGCGAAAGAAAGAGAAGGTGGGTGACGTGTGGGTGGATGAACCCTGATGTGCTTCCCCTGCCTTCCAGGTAAGCCCCCAGGAATGGCAGTCTGCTGGGGAGAATATTGTGTAGCCAGGAGGAGGTGTTCAAAGATCTCTGCACAGAAGACAATGTTAACATTTAGTATAAACCCTTAGTTTTTCAGGAATTTTATACTTTTTTTTCAGAACAGAATTTTTTACTTAAAAAACAACAACAACATTATTATTAGAAGACCAGACTTTTGGTCTGATAGAGATAGATGAAAGCCCTGAGACTGTAGCTCTCATTAACCCTTCTAACCCGGAGCTGAACCCGCCTCTGGATCACCGTTCAGCCAAACAACAGTCAGCTTTGTCAGGTGAACAGTAACTCTTGTGAGGAAAATGCTCATCAGAACAGTTAACCAAAAGGACAGCATTTTCCTCAAAGCAAAGCTCATTGGATAGGAAGGGACAAGAAAGAAGGACAAATGGACACAAAGAACCCAGAAAGGAAGCCGGAAGAGTGCTGTTACTTGAGAGAATTACAACCAGTGTTGTAAAACAAAATGTGTATAAATTGTTGATTGGAAAACTAGTTTGCTCTGTAAACTTTCACCCAAACCACAATAAATTAGAAAAACCAACTATTTGTAAACATTTGTTGTTGCTGTTAAGTGCAGTGAGTCTGTTCCAACCCATAGCAACCCTGTAGAGTTTCTGAGGAGTGGCTGGTGAGCTTGAACCACCAGAAATGAGAAAAAGGGAGAAAAAGACATAGGAAAAAGAGCATTTAAGAATCCTGGAATAATGATTGAATAATAAAACAGTATTTATTGATAAATCAATTACCTAACTTTACACCTTGTAGGACTAGAAAAAGAAGAGTAATAAACTAAACTGGAAGAGCAGCAGAATGAAGGCAATAGTAAAAGAGTAAAGGTGAGATAAGTGAAATCAAGACTAGAAAAACAATGGACTCAGTAAAACCAATATTTGGTTCTTTGCAAAGCTGTAGCTTGACTAACAAAAGCTTGTTGCTTGACTGACAAAAATTGTTGTTACTACGTGCCGTCGAGTCCGTTCTGACTCAAAGCAACCCTGTATAGAGTTTCCATGGAGCAGCTGGTAGATTTGAACTGCTGACCTTATGGTTCACAGTCCAGTGCTGATCCTACAGTGCCACACTGGAGTCCAAGATGGAGAGAAACTCAAATTATTAAAATTAAAGCATGAAAGTGGGGCCATTACTGTCAACCCTGTAGAGAAAGAGGTTAGAAGAGAAAACTGTACACAAATGTACACCAACAAACTGAATAACCCACACGCACTGCACAAATTCCTGGAAACCTATTTATCACCTAAACTAACCCAAGAAGAAATAGAAAATCTTGGCAAATCTATAATGAAGAGATTGACGCAGTAATTAAAAGCCTCCACTCGATGGCACTTAACAACATCAACAACAGAGAAAAGTCCAGGATTAACTAGGTGTGCTGGTGAATTCTACTGGTCACTTAAAAGAGGAGTTAGCACAATTCCTTCCCAAACTCTTTGAAAAAGATAGAAGATGAGGGAGCATGTCCTAACTTATTCTATGAGGCTAGTATTAACCTTATACCAAAACACCTCAAAAAAAGAAAACTTTTCAACCAATAGTACCTTTTAGTAATAGTGTAAGTATTATAGATACAAAAATCCTCAGAGAATTACTAGCAAACTGAGTCCAGCAGCATATTAAAGGGGTTACAAACCATGACCAAATAAGGTTTATCTCAGGAACGCAAGGCTGAAGAAAATCAATCATACTAAACCACATTAAGTAACCTCAGGAGTGTTGTGGGTTCCGTGTTGGGCTGCTGACTGCAAGGTCAGCAGTGTGACTCCATCAGGTGTTCTGCGTGAGAAAGATGAGACTTTCTGCTCCTATAAAAATTTACAGCCTCGGAAACTCTTTACAGGGTCTCTATGAGTCAGAATTGACTCCATGACACATCACTACCAACACTACCATATCACATTGAACAAAGCAAAAACAATAAAATGTGATCATCTAAATTGATGCAGAAAAAGTATTTGACAAAATCCAACACCCTTTCATTACAAAACACCCAGAAAACTAGGAATAGTAGGGAAACTCAACACTATGATAAAGGCATCTATGAAAAACCCACAGCCAGCATCATACGCAGTATGAAAGTCTGTTAGTTTTTCCCCTAAGGTCAGGAGCAAGACAAGGATACCTGTTTTCTTAATTAAAAGCAATGTACTAGAAGTTATAAGCAGAACAATTAGGTAAGACAAGAAATCAAGGCATTCTCTTTGAAAAGGAAAAAAGAAAACTATTCACAAATGACATAATGTCACGTATGAAACAATCTTAAAGAAGCTGCAAGAAAGCTTGTAATGCTTATAAACAAATTCCGCAAAGTGCAGGACACACTATGAACATAAAAAAGAAAAATCGGTTGTGTTTCTGTATACCAGTAGTGAGCTATCCAAGAGGGAAGTTAAGAGAACAATTTTATTTATAATAGTATCCAAAAGAATACAATGCCTAGGAATAAATTGGACTAAGAAGATGAAAGACTTACAC